TAAAAAAATATGTAAATACGTTAAAAAGTAAAAATAAAAAAATAAATAAAAAATAATTAAAAAATATATGTGTGTAATTTCGTTCTAACTGTATTTTGATAATATATATATTGATATCAAAATACACGTAGAACGAAATAATATATATATATACGTATATATCACTATATGTGTACCTATATATAAATAAAAATAATTTAAAAAAATTATATACATATATATATATATATATATATATATACACACACACGTATATATAAAATAATTTTGCATATATATTTATATAATAATTTAACATAATTAGGTCCTTTTATTACTTACAATTTGCAGGACCTGCCTGACAACCCAGGCCGAAAGTAAAGGGAATTTAATTTGCTAGCACTATATTTAACCCTATACCTTTCCAAGACACCATAAAACCTGTACATGGGGGGTACTGTTTTACTCGGGAGACATCGCTGAACACAAATATTTGTGTTTCAAAACCGTAAAATTTATTACAACGATGATATCGTTTTTGCATTTTTCACACATAAACGGCACTTACACTGACGATATTATCGCTGTAATACTTTTTACTTTTTTGAAACACAAATATTTGTGTTCAGCAAAGTCTCCTGAGCCTCATGCACAGGTTTTATGGTGTTTTCAAAAGTTACAGAGTCAAATATAAGGCTTGCGTTTCAGTTTTTGCACATTGAAATTTGCCAGATTGGTTATGTTGCCTTTGAGACCGTATAGTAGCCCAGGAATAAGAATTACCCCCATGATGGTATACCGTTTGCAAAAATAGACAAGCCAAGGTATTGCAAATGGGGTATGTTCAGTCTTTCTTAGTAGCCACTTAGTCACAAACACTGCCCAAAATTGGCATTCAAATTAGTTTTTTGCATTTTTCACACACAAACAAATATTAACGTTAACTTTGGCTAGTGTTTGTGACCAAGTGGCTACTAAAAAAGACTGGATATACCCCATTTGCAATACCTTGGGTTGTCTACTATTGCAAATGGTATGCCATCATGGGGGTAATTCTCATTCCTGGGCTACCATACAGTCTCAAAGGCAACGTAACCAATCTGGCGAATTTCAATGTGAAAAAACTGAAAAGTGTAACATGCTATATTTGACCCTGTAACTTCCCAAAACACCATAAAATCTGTACATAGGGGGGTACTGTTTTACACGTGAGACATCGCTGAATACAAATATGTGTATTTTATTGCAGTAAAAGCAAACAGTATTATGACATTTAAAGTTAAAATGTCATGTAGAACTAAGAAAAAATTTGAAAAATCATATTTTCTCTCATTTTTTTTTATATTTTAGTCATATTAAATTATGTTCCATACGTAAATATTTGATGTTAAATGAAAGCCCTGTTGCCCCTGAATAAAATGATATATAATAAGTGTGGGTGTATTTAATATGAAAGAGGTAAATTATTGTTGAACAGACATATAGTAAAATTCTGTGGTTTGTTTACATTTTTTTGGGATCAGAACTTGTACATTTGGCTGTGGTTTTACTACTGGTGGAGGCAAGAACAGTTCACACAATTTCCCCAGAAATTGTAGCTTTCTAGTTATAAATATACAATTTCTCACAAAAAACAAACAAAAGATAATTCAATAAGTGTCTATTCAATTATATTTGTGCATATAGTTAAAATATAATTGTTCTAAAATCTATGTGGACTAAAAGATAACCAACCCCATTGTTTATTCTTGTTTTTTTTAAACAGTAAAACATCTCACTAGATTTTCTGGGGCAATATTCGCCCTGTAATGTACAGTTTAAAGGGGCTCCATAGCAAACTAACTAAAAGTTGACCTCTCCAAGTAAAACAGAGGCACCACCTGCGACAGACCTAGGCTTCTGTTTTCAAGCATTCCAACAAGTGGTTGTAGGGGGCAGAGCGATCCTGCACTGGAGAGGAGACTTTGGGTTAAACCCATTTGTGAACTCTTTAACCTCTAAAGGAAAGCCAGAGTCATAGACCTCCTGGCACCAAATAAAACTTCATTTAGAAAACAGTTGTTATGGTGCCCAGAGTGTTCCTAACAAATCTGCAAAATAAAATAGCTGATTAAAGGGGAGCTCTCTTTTTTTTATTCTTTATTTTTGCAAATTATTGCTGAGATACAACATGGCATAAGAGCCATACAGGAACGGGCATGATACAATGGCAAAGACATTAAGATCTCATAGCGTGAATCCACTCATTGTATGCTTTTGTGGCTAGTGTTCCCTCCCTTGTCAATGCCCGTTTAATTGGTCTATATCTAAAAGGTTGCTGGTGTGGGTCTGCAAGTGCAGACTTCATGTGGGTAAAGTTGTTGTCTCACGTCCACCCGCTCTGAGTACAAATGGAGTAATTCCTGCAACAGTCCAGGATGGGCGAGCCGTTTGTAGAGTCTTCTCTGCCAGTATGTCTAGGGACTAGCTTCAGAAAGGTGTGACATTAGATGTGTCTTGTCTGCCTCATCAGCCAGGATTTGGTGTTGGCCCCATTTGTAGGGGATAGAGTGCTCCTGCAGACAGTAGCGCGGTAACTTGCTTGAGGGATCTTTGCCATACCAGGGTATGTCTAGAAAAATCCTGGAAAAATACCAGCTGTGCCCCCTCAAACGACACAGTGGGAGAGCCTCTCGCAGCCCCCATGATTACCCCATGGTCGGAGTCCTGAGTTAATTTCAGCAGAACATCCCTAGGTACATCTTGGGCTATGTTGGAAGCCTTGGTAATTAGGAAACAGGAGTCTACCACTAGTTGTTTTGCCTGATTGGGCATTAGCAGTGTGGCAATAAGCCTCCGACAGTAGTGGGGGAGTTCGGTTCCTGCTATGTTGGAAGCCTTGGTAATTAGGAAACAGGAGTCTACCACTAGTTGTTTTGCCTGATTGGGCATTAGCAGTGTGGCAAAAAGCCTCCGACAGTAGTGAGGGAGTTCGGTTCCTGCAATCGTTTCTGATACTCCCCAGAATCTTAAATTTTGTTCTGTGGCCCTGTCCTCCATGGTGGCTATCTGCGCCTGTTGGTCTGTGCATTGCTTCTGTAGCGCTCCTATAGCAGCATCAGTGGCTGATTGTGCTAGCTTGGTGCCCTCCATGACTTCCTCCACTTTGTCAGCTAGCTTAAAATAGATACTGCCTCGCGGACCGGTGCCATATCCGCTTTGAACATGATCTTCATTTCTGTCATTAGTGCCCTGATATCTGCTTTAGTAGATGGAGCACAGTCCTCCAACTCTGAAGTTGTCTGTCATGCTGAGCGTGGTCAAGATGGAGGGAAGATGTCATCATCAGACGACATTGAGGTGTAGGCCTCGGCAGGTGCCATCTTGGCTGATTAAGGCCGCGAGGTCGTGCGTAGGAAGACCCCTATATCTTGGGATCCTGAGCCCGGGTTCACTCATTGCTTCTTGTTCTTTTTCCCCATATCGCTGGGCATCTAGGATGGTGCACTCTGAGCGATATAGCGGTGCCGATGACGGTTATTAGCCTGGAATATTGGGGTAAGCTCGCAGAGATGTCCATAATTACTTATTCACTTTTTTTTTCCCAGAAAAGCAAAATAGCATTGAATGTTAAAATCCAAGCCACTGTATTTAAATCTATCCTGAAATTTGGCACCTCCATCTTGGCTCCCTGTATATCATTGCTATAAATGTAAAAAAAAAAGTTTAACACAAGTTATAAGTGATTTCTAATGGTGCAATTTCCAGGGCAGTAACAGTTATCATTTAAGAAAATGATTTGTGGTTAAAATGTTATGCAAGAGCTCTCTTAGTGGGCATCATATTAAATACACAGTATATGTATTTAATATATACTATTTTGACATGAAATCAGCTGAAAAAGTCTTGTGAATCAGATGGGCTGTCAGAGAAAATTGTAAAAGGATTCATAATAAATGTGTAATTTTACACTATGGAAGTCCCACAGCAGGCAGACATTATGAACTATGAATGATTATCTCTGGTTTATATTTGGATAGTTACAGCTATTTGTCTTTGAATACTTATGGCAGTGTTCCTATTTCGAAAAAAACCCATTTAAAACAATTAGAGTATAACTAACTGATCAATCTGAAATAAAAAATAAAATGAAAATATAAAAAACAAATAGAATAATTTTCTGTGTCAGATTTTACATGTTTATGTAGAAACTGTATCAATGGATATCTATTAAATAAAGGATAAAACGCCCAGGCCATTTGCTGTGCCCATTTACCTTATAAGGTTGCAGTGATGTCATTAAGCATCTTACATCATAAACAGCTGAGGGCAGGTAACAAAGGCTTGCACCTTCTGAAGCCAGTCAGTGTATTGCTAGGATTACATCGTAAACAGGTACTCAGCAGATCTTATATCTATTATCAGAACAAACTGAAATTTTAAGGTTAGTACTGGACAATGCTAATATTTTAATGTCTGTCTTTGATTTCCTAGCATGAAGTCTGCCAAGCAGTATTACTGCCGCATGGACCTAAACAGGATCTGGAGGAGGATGGTAATGTATAAAAGGATGGAGCGATGATAAATAAGTTAAATAATAGATCAATTTAATACAGATCCAGGGACAGATTTGCAGCCGATCGCCTCATTATGGGGTCAGGAAGGAATTTTTTGCTTGGACATATTTAATATTACTAATGGTATGTCCAAGTTTTTTCGCCTTCCTCTGGATCATTTATTCACTAAACTTTGAATTGTAGCAAATTAAAATCTGACAGGGTTGTTCACTAAACATCACATTTTATCTGGAAGTCTTTTGTATTCTTGAAACCCCTCACAGTACAATGTTTATAAAATGTAAAAATGTTTAAAAGTATATGTAAGCTAAATACAAATGTATTGAAGATAAATTGACTAAATAATATTAGAAAACTTTATTAGTTATATAGTTACTTTTATATTACTATGGTTTACAATAATACAAAGACAAAGGACCTCTTACAAATATAAATCCTTAAAAATACATTTAAAACAATAATAATAATAATAATTTGCAATTTTTGTAGCACTTTTCTCCCAGTGAGGCTCAAAACACTTTACAAATATATAAAGCAGACATAAAAGCTAAGCGTTTCTGACAGTCAGAAGAGCTGACTGAATGCCTATCAAAAGAGTCCCAGGCCAATGTTAAAATGTTTGCCATTTAATTGGAAGCCAATGCAGGGAGTGGAGAACAGGTGTTATGTGACATGATTGACTTTGGCTGGTCAGTAGTCTGGCTGCTGCATTTTGTACTGTCTGTAGGTGATGGAGTTCTTTTTCTGGGAGGCCCAAGTAGAGTACATTACAGTAATCTTGACAAGAGGACACAAATACATGGATTAATGGTGGTGCACAAGGCGTTAAGAACTCCTTCTGTCACTTACCTGATTCCAGCGCTGATGTCCCTCCGCTTCCCCCCTGCCAAAATAAGCCGACATTGGGGCCTACTGCACATGAGCGGAAATCTCGGTGCTTGCATTGGGACTTCCCCCATACAAAAGTGTTGCATAATATGTTCCTATGAGGTCTTGGGTGGCACTGGATGTCCTCATGCATAGTGTTAGGATATCCAGTGTCAGTTAGGCAACCAAAAGTCACCTAATGATCGGAAGTTCCTCTAGTGGTTGTCAGGTAAATCGCTACTGGAGGTGGGTTTAACCCTGGCAGGTACGTATTGCAGTTTTTGCAGGGTTAAGGGATCTCGGACACTGTACCCAGACCACTTCAATGAGCTGAAGTAGTATGGGTACCTATAGTGTCCCTTTAAGGTAGTTGTTATGGTGAGTATAGTCAGTGCCTGCTGGCTGTTTGTGTAAACACTGTCCTTTTAGAGAAAAGGCAGTGTTTATATTACATCTCTAGTGGCCACTCCTCAGAGGTTCAGCTTCTCCATGCTCTGCGCTGCACTCGAGAGTTCACATAGAAAGTTCAATCGTTAACTTCCATATGTGCCTAGGGTTTCTCCACTGCTGTTGCAGATAGTGTGCAGAACTCTGGCAGGTGAACTCCAATTCTCTGCTGTTGCGGTTGATGAAGTGCGGATCTCTGACGTCTTGGCCGATGGAACATGGCCCTCCGCAGATGCAGCAGTGGAGTGCCGTTCTCTACCATCGTGGCAGATGGAGAAGGGTCAGGCCCCTGTTGTTCTGCATCTTGGAAAGGTGTGTGGGTAGAGGAGCAGGTTCCTGGTGGTGCATGTCACCGTGAAGTAGTCTGCCACATATTTGAATTAGTCCTCGTCAGATTTGCTCTTGAGGCAGCATTGAGGCAGTCACCAAGTGCCTCTCCAATTGGGTCCAAAGGTCCTGAAATATTGCCAGTGAGGCTGTGTGCATCAACAAAGGACCTTTGCCGCCGGTGAAGACTTTTCTGCCATCTTGGGAAGCTTAGGCGTTCACAGGTTAGTGGCAACAGCTGTCTGCTATGGAATGGGTAGCATTGTAGGTCAGTCCAGCTGGAAGGGGAATAACGCCCATCACTCTTCTGCCTTTCCCCAGCACAGCAGCCTGTAGGCCTCGGCAAGTCTCAACAGGCTCCCGAGTTAGGTATCGGTGGGTTAATCACAGCTACCCCTCTTCAGTTTGCGTGAAATCGCCCAGATTTTATTGCAGTAGCTAAAAATATCCCCCAAAAATCAGTAAGCAAAGCGGGAGCTCGCCCAGTACACGTCTGATCAGCACATGTCTCAGGCTCCGCTCACCCTAGTTATTTTAACACTGTAGGATCAGGAATACACATTTGTGTTTCTGACCCTATAGTGTTCCTTTAATAAATGGCCATATATAATTGAAAATATATACTCCTCATTACCCTGTAAGAATGTATTCATAAATATAATGCCAAGACCCAATTGCAGGGCAATTTCTAAAAAAAAAAGAAAAAGAAAAAAAAACTAATATGGAAAAGATATCTGAGTGGGAAAAAAAGGAAAGAAAAGAATGAAAGAAAAAGAAAAATTAACAAAAAAATTAAAATATGAGAATAACAAAAAAAATGAAAAAATATAATGAAAAAAAAAAAAAGTAAATATATATATACTGATATGGAAAAGATAGCTGAATGAAAAAAAGAAAAAAGAAAGAAAATAATAAAATAAAGAAAACTTAAAAAAGAGCAAGAATAAAAATATGAGAAAATAAATTACAAAAACTCATTGAATAAAACTGAAAATATAAATAAAAAAAGAAATATAAAACAAATATGAGAATAACAAAATTAGAAATTGAAAATGATTTATTGAAAAGAGCAATAAATTATTGAAAAATATATTAATGGATACATCTCAGAGGAATGATTGTTGATTTAAAAAAAAAAAATGAAGTCTGAACTCAATGTCTATATTTAATTCTGTGGCTGAAGGTTTTTTTTTTTTAAAGGAACACTAAAACATTTGGATACAAACCTGTATTCCTAAATTGTTAGTGTTCCTGACCTTAGTTATATAGGTCAGGTCAGGTTTTTGCTCTTATGGCACCGATTACCTCTCTTCCTCCCGCAATTTCATAGCCTCCTCTGGCGTAGTCCAATCCAATGCTCCTCATAGGGGAACACTGGGATCCTGATGCACATGCACAGCGAACATCATACGCGTATCCATGCTTCCCCGTTTCCTATGGGAGCTTCCGTATCACGTGACCGATCAGCGCAGTGGAGACTCCTCCAGTGGCTGTTTAACCCTTTCAGGTAAACATTGCTATTTCTGCAAAATGGCAGTGTTTTACCTTGTAGGGTTAAATTGACAGAACCACTGCACCCAGGCCACTTCATTGAGATTAAGTGGCCTGGGTGACTCTATTGGTCCTTTAATTTATTAATCCAAAAGGTTTCCCTTTGATCTAGTTTATTATTATTATTATTATTCCCTCCTTTTTATTGTGCTTGAACTTGTTAAATACTTAATAATGTGAGATATATATATATATATACACATATATTTTTATTTATTTACTCTATTTGCAAAAGGTTACAGTGTAAATTAACAACATGTTTCTAATTTATTTAATTTATGATCAAATTACCTTGTTTTTTTAATCTCCAACATGTAGGTTCCAATGCATTGTTTGCCCAAGGGCTAACAAGGTTACATCCTGTAAATTATTGAGAGAGTCTTTCAACCTCAGGAAGTGGATATTGTCCAACTCCCAAAGAGGGTGCCATCCCCCAATAACCCAAGATATCTAGGGGTACCAATCCTATTAAATAGATATTAGATATATATAACCATCAGTGAGGGCTAGTAAATAAATCAGGGGTGGTTAACAGGTCATGGGCTTTGGGTGGGGTGTGTTATCTAAATAAAGAGATGTAAACATGACATTGTTCACCCCCACAAATGAGAGTGCAATGCCCTGCATTAACCCCAGGTGTCCTATTGTCCACATGCCCCTAGCCATCCCCTCCGTTATGAAATTTCTATCTGCCTCCTCACCCTAATAACAGTGAGGTTAGGCACAAAAAATCTAAACTTACCTCATTTAGGAGAATGTTCATTGGTGTGTCCACTCCATATTTCATGTATAAATACCCTGGTCAGAGCCATGTGTAGGGGGTGATAAATGGCATGTCCATTTTTTTATTTATTTGAACACTATGCCCAAAGGCATCTAGTGCTGCCAGCGGGTAAATATTTGTATAGTGAATGTAGTCAGTCTCTGTTGGCTTTTTGCTTTAAACACTGTCTTTTCAGAAAAAAGGCTGTGTTTACATTACAGTCTAGGAACACTACTAGTGGTCACTCCTCAGACTGCCACCAGAGGTGCTTCCTGGGTCAGTGCTGCACAATGTGCAGCACTGACGTTCAGCTTCTCTACGCTATGCATTGAGACACTGAAATGTTTGCACAGAGATGCATTGATTCAATGCATTTCTATGAGGAGATGCTAAATGGCCAGGCCGGTGTTTGGCTCCGCTCCCACCCCTTCTCCTTGGATGAGATCACTTAAATTGACAATCTTAGCCAATCCAATGCTTTACTATGGGAAAGAATTGTGATTGGCTGAGATCATCAATTCTGATGATGTCAGCCAAGGAGGTTTAGGGTTGGAACCAGCACCGTCGGATCTGCGCGGCACTGACATAACGTGGCATTATGAAATGTTTAAGGGAGTCAAGGGGAAGCCAGGGGACCTAAATAGTTATTTTAACACTATATGATCAGGCTCCGCTCACCCTAGTTATTTTAACACTGTAGGATCAGGAATACACATTTGTGTTCCTGACCCTATAGTGTATCTTTAATAAACTGCAGTATATAAAATTGACACTAAAATATATACCCCTCATTCTCCTGTAAGTATGTATTCATAAATATAATGCCAAGACCCAATTGCAGGTCAATTTCTAAAACAAAAACAAAAAAACAACAACAACAAAAAAAAAACTAATCTGGAAAAGATATTTGAATGAAAAAAAAAGAAAAAAATAGAAGAAACAAAAGAGTGAAAGAAAAACAAAAATGAACAAAAGAATTAAAATATGAGAATAACAAAAAAATGAAAAAGTTAATGAAACAAATATTAAATTACAACAAAATAAAAAATATATATACTGATATGGAAAAGATAACTGAATGAAAAAAGAAAAAAGAAAGAAAAGAATAAAAGAAAGAAAATTTAAACAGCAATAATAAAAATTTGAGCACAAAATATTTGAAAAAATACAAGAAAATAAATAAAAAAACCTCATTGAATAAAACAGAAAATATAAAATAAAAAAGAAAGAAAAAAATACAAAAAACAAATATGAGAATAACAAAAATAGAAATTGAAAATGATTTATTGAATATCTAAAAGAGCAATAGTTTATTGAAAAATATATTTATGAATACATCTCAGAGTAATAATTGTTGATTAAAAAAAAAAAAAAAAAAGCCTGAAGTCAATGTCTATATTTAATTCTCTGGCTGAAGGGTTTTTTTTTGCTTTTTGTTTTTTTAAAGGAATACTAAAACATTTGGATACAAACCTGTATTCCTAAATTGTTAGTGTTCCTGACCTTAGTTCTATAGGTCAGGTCGGGTTTTTGCTCTTCTGGCAACGATTACCTCTCTTCCTCCCGCAATTTCATAGCCTCCTCTGGCGTAGTCCAATCCAATGCTCCTCGTAGGGGAACACTGGGATCCTGATGCACATGCACAGCGAACATCATACGCGTATCCATGCTTCCCCATTTCCTATGGGGGCTTCCGTATCACGTGACCGATCAGCGCAGTGGAGACTCCTCCAGTGGCTGTTTAACCCTTTCAGGTAAACATTGCTATTTCTGCAAAATGCCAGTGTTTTACCTTGTAGGGTTAAAGTGACAGAACCACTGCACCCAGGCCACTTCATTGAGATTAAGTGGCCTGGGTGACTCTCTTGGTCCTTTCATTTATTAATCCAAAAGGTTTCCCTTTGATCTAGTTTATTATTATTATTATTTCCTCCTCTTTATTGTGCTTGAACTTGTTAAATACCTAATAATGTTAGATACATAAACACATATATATTTTTATTTATTTACTTTATTTGCAAAAGGTGACAATGTAAATTAACTACGTTTCTAATTTATTTAATTTATTATTATTATTATTATGATATTTATAGAGCGCCGTCAAATTCCGCAGCGCTTTACAATGGGTGGACGAACAGACATGTAGTTGTAACCAGACAAGTTGGACTCACAGGAACAGAGGGGTTGAGGGCCCGGCCCTAGCTTACATGCTAGAGGGAGTGGGGTAAAATGACACAATAAGGTAAGGATAGTATTAGACTAATGACAGTTGCAGAAGAGGAATCAGTCAGGAGCTATTGACAGTTTAATTGATACGCTTTTTTTTGAAGAAGTGGGTTTTTAACGATTTTTTGTAGGAGTGGAGACTTAGTGAGCATCTAACGGAGGAGGGAAGTGAGTTCCACAGGAATGGTGCAGCCCTCGAGAAATCTTGAAGGCGAGCATCAGAGGTGGGAGTACGGACAGAAAATAGACGTAATGCTCAAATTACCTTGTTTTTTAATCTCCAATGCATTGTTGGCCCAAGGGCTAACAAGGTCACATCCTGTAAATTATTGGGAGAGTCTTTGACCCTCAGGACGTGGATATTGTCCAACTCCCAAAGAGGGTGCAATCCCCCAATAACCCGAGATATCTAGGGGTACCAAGCCTATTAAATAGATATTAGATATATATAACCATCAGTGAGGGCTAGTAAATAAATCAGGGGTGGTTAACAGGCTTTGGGTGGGGTGTGTTAACTAAATAAAGAGATGTAAACATGACATTGTTCACACTCACAAATGAGAGTGCAATGCCCTGCATTAACCCCAGGTGTCCTATTGTCCACACGCCCCTAGCCATCCCCTCAGTTATGACATTTCTATCTGCCTCCTCACCCTAATAACAGTGAGGGTAGGCACAATAAATCGAATACCTGTAAATACTTACCTCATTTAGGAGAATGGACAATGGCGTGTCCACTCCATACTTCATGTATATCTTCATGTATATTTTGTTTTAATGTATTTACTAATGTTTTAACACTATGCTGCCTAGCGGGGAAATAGTTCACAGATTTAAAATATGAGCCTGGATTTTAAAGGAGCACTATAGGGTTAGTTATACAAATGTGTATTCCTGACCCTATAGTGTTAAAATCACCATTTAGGTCACCAGCCCACACTTGCCCCCTTAAATAAGGGGATTTTTTTTTTTAAATTAAAAAATAAATAAATACATTTACCTTTACTCCAGCACTACAAAGGTTCTGCTGGCATTGGCTCTGTCCCCAATATGCCTCCCTGGCTGAGATCATCAGAATTGACTATCTCAGCCAATCCAATGCTTTCCTACAGGCGGGGCGGGGTGAAGCCAAACGCCGTGCTGACAAATCAGCAACTCCTCATAGAGATGCATTGAATCAAGATTCCCTTTGATCTAGGAAATATGAGGAAAGTTCGGTGACTTCATGCAGAGCATTGTGCAGCACTAATCCAGGAAACACCTCTAGTACCTCTAGGAGGTGTTCTGGAGGTGTTCCTAGGCAACAATGTAAACACTGCGTTTTGCTCTGAAAAGGCAGTTTTTACAGCAAAAAGCCTGAAGATACGGACTATAATTACCAGAACAGCTACATTAAGCTGTAGTTCTTCTGGTGAATATTGTGTCCTTTTACATGTCCGATGCCCACATTTTCTGCATTTTAGCTTTTTAGCTGAAATCCAGACAAACTTCGGACTTCTTATGAAGATAGTCTTTATTTTGCAGTCAGAATATACACAGAATATACACAGTCGTATGGTTTTGTAAGGGGCCAATGAGACTTTAATGAATAACCCTGTGAATAGTCAAATGCAGCCAAAAACAGCCAAGTTATGACTATGACACCTAATGACTATAATTACTTTTGCCTACATTTTGCCATCAGATTTTAATTTGTTACGATTTAGAGTTTAGCGAATAACCCTGTTCATGAAGATTTTTTCCTTTTTGTATGAAAGGTTTTTTTTCTTCATTATAAATAAATAAATAAATAAAAACATTTAAAAATATTTTCTTCTCTCATGTTCTTTTACTTCAACACAACTCCAGGGCTGATTTCATAAATATTTAAAGGAAGAACTCAAAACACCAACATTCTGTAGTAGCTTTGGTGCCAGGAGTGCCGTGGCTTCAACCCAATCTAAGAACGGTTTTAGAACGGGTTGACTTCCCATCTGGGGTCCGCTGGTCACTGTCTCTCGCCAATAGTACAGCTGGCAGAGAGGCTGGAAGTTCTCTGTCTGTTCTAATCCTGGTAGTGCAGAGCTTAGCTGATTGGCTGACAGTGATCAGCTTACTCTCTCAGCCAATGAGCTAGCCATGTAGTAGAGGTTCTTAAGCAGGTGCTTCCGGCTCTGTGTTGAATGTAGTGATTGAATGTAGCATGCAGTAGTGTTAATGGTGGGTGTTTGGAGTGTTAATTTAAAAATATTAACAATGGAGCTAAAAACCACTTAGTTGTTAAACACATTAATGGATGTAGGGATGAAGCATACCTGCACCGAAGCGGCTTTCATGTAAACAGATTTTATGGAAGGAGTTTTTAACACGGTGATCATATAAGGAGCAGCCAATAAGCACAGCACATACAGACTCCAGGCTCCATGGTGCTTTAAGTCAGTCGCTGATAGTCCTAAATGGACGGTCCTTCATTTAAAGGTTGAATGTGGAGGCCACAAAGTGTGCTTTACGGTTTTTAAAGTAATGTGCAGAACACGAGGCACAGGATAGGTGCAGCACAGGAAGCAAATAGCAACACAGACATGTTGGTACAGATACAAACAGGCAATTCCCATTTCCCTTTTCCAGTAGTAACACTTCTCTTCTCACTAATAACGTTACTGATCAATATGCTTGCTGATGACCAGCTATACCTTTCTGGCCATTACATTGGCTAACAGAAATAGAACACACACACTTCTTGTATTCGTGTATTATCCTAGACATAGCTCGGGTGCCTGGTCCTTAATGTGCAACTCATTTATGTAGGTTACTCGGACAGTGCATCCTGCGTTTGTTTCACTGCAAATCATTGTACATCCTAAGAGTCAAGGTGCTCTATAGTCTGTCTCTTCCATTCTTATTTTATACCTGTATTGAAAGTGAGAACATGTTTTAGATATGTTCTTTGACAGACACCCAATAGTAGAGAATTGTAGGTACATTTATGGATTTCTACACAATTGTCTCAAGAACAGTCTGGGAAAAGTGCCAAACACTGATACATTCTACCAAGCAGCTCTGGAAGATAAATAAAAATATAAATGTAGGTTAGATGGTAGGCTAGCGAGGCATTCGATTCATAATCTGGAGGCCTTGCTCCCAATTTTGCTTCCAATAAGTTATCTATTACACTGAGAATTTTTTCAGGGAATAGAGGAAATAGAGGGGGAGGAAAAGGCCTCTCATTGCAGCTGTCACATATAGCCAGGTAGGAGCAGGAAAAGACACATGTAGGAATGGAGAATGTGAGAGATGATGTGACACATGACATGGGAGAGATGGCAGAGACACACCAGGTACATAGGAAGGATGGCAGAAAGTGATGTGGGATATGAAAAGGATGGCAGTGACTCGTGGGGAACATAGGGAAGATGGCAGAGATTTATAGGGGGTGGGGGGAGGAATGCTTAAACTTATGGGGGATGTGAGGAGGATGGCAGAAAGTTATGGGGAGGATGGTATTGACTCATGGGGAAAATGGCAAGGATGGCACAGACACACAAAAAAAATGAGGAATGACACAGATATACGCGGGTGGTATGCCCCCAGTGGAGGTGGGGTTACACCTCTGTAAGCAAAGTGGACACAGCAGACAAAAAAAATTAGTCCAGAAAAGGGTTAATGATTTTTCTGTCCTAGAAGATCTGCACCAATGCTGTGCAACCAAACCCTCCTTTACCATGTACAAATTTTACTGGTTAGATAAAGTTAAGCAGTTTATCATCATTATGTCATCCTAAGCTGTTGCAGTGTGCTTTGGATATGTGTTAAACCGAAGAGTTTTGTAAAGCCATTTTAAGACAGTTTGACATAACAAAGACATACTTAACCTATAGCCTCTGTGCACCCTAATCACTACACTATGCCCTAGTAGCTATGGTGCTCGAAATGTCATTACATTTGACGGGGTGCCAATGGATGAATTTGTCCCAGGTACAAATTAGCTTGGTATGCTCTGGCAGGGCTGTCTTAACAGTATTATTGACCCATAGGCAATGTAATATTGGTGATTATATGCAAATATGTATTCACAAATGCATATGCACGGTCACGTACAAATACAGGGGCACATTGCAATATACAGAAACACACATACACTACGAGAGATACACACAGATTGAGACACATACACAGTTACTTTGACACAGACTGACATACATGCAAGATTCACACGTACAGCTACATGCATTGACACACACACAAACACTGACACAAATGCACAGATACTGACACACAAACACTGACACATAAACCGACACACATGCACAGATACATACAGCTGCACACATAAACACTGACACACATAGAAGCACTTCAAATCACTGAAGTGGCCATGGAGGTTGGTGTAATCCTTTAAAGAAACAGACACAGATATGAAAGACAATTTGCCTTAACATGTTACATAACTATTTTGATGTAATCATAAAGCAACTCGCACTCTTGGTGTATTGATTAACCGTGTCAATAAAAGTTAAAGGGACACCCTAGGCACCATAACCACTTATCCCATTGTGCTGGGGTCCCCTGGCACCATCCCTCTGTTCAGTGTGAACAGCTAAAGGCAGCTGCCTTCATCCTGCCTACAGTAGAGATTTGTCCCAAAAGGAGATTACAGTCCAACATCAAACAATGGGCAGCAGTGAGGCTCTCAGCCCATTACTGGCATCCATCACTGCAAGGGCTCATGTTTCTGCATAAACCTGAGCAGCAGAGAGTGGCCAGGCTACCAGGGACCCACATCCACGTTTAAAATGAGTTTAACACTGAACATTACAATGGGATTCCACGCATTATAAACACTGCAATGAAATTAGGTGGTTAGGGTACATAAAGTATCTTTTTAAATACAGTTTTACGTTAATAATGATATGATTTAAAACTTTGCTCAGATTATCGACAGAATATTGCATTTTTTTTAAAATCTTATAGTGTTGGAAAAAAAAAAACACAAGTCAAAAGGTCATAAACTGTGACCAATGCCTGTCTTGTTACTAGCAATCCCTTTTTATTTTAAATGTGTTTCAGCCCAAATTTTTGTCTAAATAATGCTCTATTTACTTTACATTCTAAGCTTGTTTCAGCAGATCCTCATGTAAACCAAACTTGCAAAAGTTACTAATCCACTCTTTGTACAGCGCTACGGACTATGCTTCCGCAATTAATCTTGTATTTCTTGTGCTTTTTGCTCTTTCCCCAGATGATACCTCTAACAAGTTCTCAATAGTTCTCAATAGTTTTTACAAAAATGTCCTTTAACTCTCCATTCATCTTCTCCTAATTTCCCTTGCAACCTCCTGTCTCAACGTCCCTCTTTAACTAGCGTGCAAAAAAGTAAACTATAAGAGTGCTGTATATTCTGTGTCTGTGTGAGGGCTGGTGCTCCTGGTTCTTTTAGGAGATTCTAAGAATCCTTAGAGCATTCCTTTGGTCCAGAGGTTTAGAACATCTGTAAAACCAGCAGAGGTAAAATGCAGTGTCGAACTATATTGCTGCCTGGGCATGATAAGAGTTGGAATCCACTGCCACAGGAACATCAAGGTTTGCCCATACCTGACTGCATCTCAGAACGTACAGTCACAAGGCATCAGTGCAAATCTTAAAATGTCCAGCGGGTGGGAGGCAACTTTGATTTCATTGTAATGGAATTAGGAGGGGCTCTGCTCACAGCAGGCTCTGAGTAACCCATAAAGGACTAACCACTGCAGCTCTAACAAACACACTGTATCTACAGCCTTCATCAACCAGAACCTCCGCTCCACCATACCCACTGCTCCCAGCAATCATGACAACTGATTTTAATGGCTACTGGAAAATGTTAAGCAATGACCATTTCGAAGACTATCTAAGGGCTCTTGGTGAGTGATCTTTCATCTCTATTAGCAGAAATTTAAGAAGATATATTGTATATCATGCAATGCTTACCAATGTATGGGAAGGGGGCTGATTGTATTAATTTATATGTAACATGAATAAATATTGACCCAGGAAAAGGCACATCCCTTTGTAAGTAAAGGCAGCAATGGATTCACATGGCTTTCTGCTGTCTGCTCCTTTCTTAAGGTATCATTTTACAGGAGGCTCAGGAATGTTCCTTCTTAATCCTAAAATCCTGGCAAGGAAGCACATTCACAGTTAGACTACATTTCAAAAAGAAGAAAAAAACACAGAATTTGGCTGCATCCATGATTAGCTCTCTGGCACACTTTAAATCTGCTTTCTGTACCTCACCTCCTTTGTGAATCATTAGTCTTTTAGAATTTGAAGACAGCCTTAGATCTGGACAAATATTCACCTATTATTTTGCAGTGAAAGCATTCTTCTTGTGTTACTTGGCCCAGTAAGTTTAACCCCTTAAGGACACGTGACATGTCACGATTCCCTTTTATTCCAGAAGTTTGGTCCTTAAGGGGTTAAGGCACTTCAGGTCAGGAGAGAAATCATCCAACTAAACCCCAGTCTAACAAGTGAGTCAATATACATGGTAAACAAAGGCACTAAGATTTTTGGAACACTGCCCAAATTTAGGGAGCATTTTACTATTAAAGATAACATATATAGAAACATGTGGTTTCCATTAACCTAAAGATCACCAAAGGCAGCGACTGTTAATAAATAAAATTTAAGTGTAGGAAGGGTGAGTGGGCAATGATTTAGTGATCGGATTTATCTACTTGCCAGGGGAACCTATTTGGAATTTAA